TTTATGACGGGAGATCAGACGAACCGTGAACCAGGGGCATGCGACGTAATTACACCTAAAGGTGGTAGAACCAGGGTATTGTCTCTTGGACTGGCTTATTGACCGTACGTATAATTGGTAAATATATTCGTTTTGACACCCGTGTTTCATGCGCATCCCGGCTCATAAGCAGGCCAAATGAGACAAATGAGGCCCCGTGATCAGCGGAGCGTGAACAACATGGATGCCGCCTTTCGGCCGTACCGAACAGTTAAACTGCGATCTCGGAACTGAATCCAATTGCAAGCGGAGACAAGATTACTTCCCTTACCCAAACATGATCGTTGCTCAGAAATGATCAAATCTATCTTCAGTAAATCATGAAATTAATGCGAGCATGACACTTATGCGAAAAATGCGATCGTCAGTCCCTCTGGTTATTTTAATATGTTTCATTTCATCATGATAAAAAAGTTAGTCACTTATAAGGTTACCACGTTGAAAATGGAAACAATCGTTAACAAAAACAACAAAATGTATTCTCTCATCACTCAGCCTAACAGTGATATAACTGCAAATTAAACAATCAAGTGCGCTAAAGTATTACACATGGTTGGTGGAGGACCAGGGGCACTTTGAGTTGACAGTTGTCATCAACCGGTCAAGTAACATCACGGTTTGTATATTCACGTTGATTGGACAGTCTAGACTGGCGCCAACTAATCATGGCGGCGTCTTCAGAACAGAACAGAACTTTATTTCTCCCAGGTTTAGGCTTACGTGGATAACGGTGAATTTTGTTTTAGTGATAGCACATTTTTAATTCAATCGAATATACTTTCCTTGATTGATTATATGGCTGCGATTGTAGATCCGGATGTATCTACATATGCTCAGTATATACACAGGGTTTATTGTTATACTATTAGGATTAATAGATACAGTTGAGTATTTATACCCTTGATCATAAAGTTAGTCACTACTTTCACATTTTGATTTGTATGATTTGGGTTATGATTAAATTGACAAAATAAGAAATCATTTCGTGTATATGTGTATTATTTATTGTACCCCAATACGTAATTAAATTGTGTATAAATAAGGACACTAGGTTAATTACTGTAATTGATTATTTGATAAACATATTCACATTTAGTTGCGTGATGTGTCACACAGGTAAAGCTAATTCATAACAACTAATTGTCCCATTTATTTGGCTTCTATCTTTTATATGAAACAAATGCTATAACATGGGGTGATAAACTTCATTGGCAATAGACTTAGCATATAATTGTCCGCATGAACAGTCTACTCTGTTCCAGATATGTTTATTCATTTTGTCAGCATTTAAATCGTTGCATTCCTGGCTCAATGATTCATTTGACGAAATCTTGTTCCCTGTTTTGAATTACCGTCAGATAGTTCCAGAACAATTATAAAATTTCAAGCCCTATGTGTTGCGCATAATTCCGAGATAATTCGAAGTTCATATTCTTGTACGAACACTTATCAAAATTCATTTATACCTAGTACTATTATGTACATATGTATATTAGTTCAAATTATAATAATGAGGCCCTCTATATTCCCGAAACGGTCTTTGTTCTACGACAACCGTAAGTCGGTATGGGAAAACAAAATATTTGTTTAATTTTTCAAAGTTCAAAGTCAATGTCATATGATTATAGACAAGGAAGATAAGAAATTGAATATAAAGAGTAGCCACTTTAAATGACAGAAATTCTTTTAGTTAAATTTGCTCATGATTTGGTCTTTTCGTGGTACATAGTGCCAAAATACTCTTAATTATTTACATTAATGTCATTACTAATCTCACATAAGGTCAAAAGTTGTACAACGTTTAACAGATATGATTATGACATGTTGTATCCAAACATTTCCAAACATTTTCAAACAAATCCAAACAAATCCAAACAAATCCAAGCTTGGAAATATGACCTTGCCAAATATTGGAATGGTCATATTTCCAATTGGAATGGTGGTATTTCCTAGTTTTGGATTTTTTGGAATGGATGATATTTTGTCCAGTGCTTGCTGCTGGCCATTACGACATCGTTACCGAGCCACGTTGGTACCATTGGTAACTCAATGGCTAATTCTGCAGCTAAAGCAGCACTCAACAAATCTGTGACACTGCTTCTGATTCCATACAGCGATTATAAACCTGTGATCAGATGTTATATCAGAGATCTCATGAAAAAGAAGTGGGACACCCAAGCAGGTGTAAATAAATTACATGAAATTAAACCAACTATTGGGTACACCTACATGGGTTGTCAGTCCAGATTTGAAGAGGTCATTTTTCAGCGATGTCGTATGGCCACTTTAGATATACACATGGATATTTATTAAAGATGAAGATCCTCCGTTCTGTGTCCTGCTTGACTGTATTGATTTTTCCATCACAAGGGATACGTATTTCAAGGTTTCAGCCATCAATGAGTTTTTTAATCTGTCTGTCTGTCTGTCGACCTGTGAAGATCCGGGATAGAATAAATATTCAGCAACCCATGCTTGCCCTTAAAGGCGGCTAAGTTTGTCGTTAGAGGCGACTAACGGGATCGAGTGCCGCGTTAAACATTAACAAACAAACATCAAGCTACATATCAGTATTTGCAGCCGAACTACAGGATGGGCAAATGAATATAACCATCAGGTTCTATAAATATTCACTGACTCAATGTCAGCTGTTAAAAATGAATGGATCACAAAATGCGTTCTCTGTCGCTGCTGTACTAGCGCGAAGCTTCGTTGCCATGAAATGTTTACATTGCAATGTTCATGGCTCTTAGCATCCATTTCGTTGGATCTTTAACGAGTATTTTATCTATCGTTTAGAAAATATGCTGAAGGGGATTACAGGAATTTCATACTCATGAACAGTGAAATATAGAGGTTTTGTTTGTTTGTTTGATGTTTAACGCTGCACTCAAAAATATTTCAGCTAAGGGAATGCGGTCTAAATATAATCGAATCTGGACCAGACGGGATTGACATCCAGAGCATCGATCCATGCAATTGGAAAACGATGACATGCATCCACCAGGTCAGCGAGCCTCACCCATTGATCCCGTTAGTGGCCTATTACAACAAGAGCGGGTGGCTGCGATCAATTCTCACCCTGGTCTTCAAAGGTTCAAATATAGAGGTTTGTTTGGCCAGTTTATTTTCGGGCGGTGCGTATCCTGTTACATACATAAACATTATTACTTTTAATGTTGAAATGTTGATTCAAGATAATGAATAATTGACAACCAACTGTCCATTCTTGATACAACAGAATAACGTCACAGATGTATCCTAATAGACAGTTGAAGACACATGGACGGGTTTTGTGTGATATGTTCAGATAGTTCAAAGGTCATCGTCGGTTCCTTCAGATTTGATATTATGTTTTCTTTCATTTATTCTGTATTTATAACAATTTGCCATTTACACATGATGGAATGTTTCACCAGGTAATTGCCTGATTATTCTCTGGCGCCAACCGTGAAGATTCGGGGTAGAATAAGTCTTCAGCAACCCATGCTTTACTCCCCCCGTGAAGATTCGGGGTAGAATTAGTCTTCAGAAACCCATGCTTGTCTCCCCCCGTGAAGATTCGGGGTAGAATAAGTCTTCAGCAACCCATGCCTGCCATAAAGGGCGAAATGCTTGTCGTAAGAGGCGTCTAACGGGATCGGATGGTCAGGCTTGGTTGGTCATCGTATCCCAATTGTGTAGATCAATGTTCATGATGTCAATCCCTGGATTGTCTGGTCCAGACTCGATTATTTACAGACCGCCATCAGCTGGAATATTGCTGAGTGCGGCGTTAAACAACAAACAAACAAACAAACCTAAGTCCGCCTTAACGAAGCCTCTGAGCCTACTTCCCAAACACGGGGGTATGCATGTTATTGTTTACTCGTCGAAGATTGGTCTGTACCAGTTTGCCTCACGACCTACAGGTGTTTTCGTGTACACCTGGTATATATATATATATATATATATATATTGATATCGATTCATAAACACGTGCGTTTAACACAGTCAATGAGTAATAATTCAACATCTTATTGGCAATATTTTAACTTTAGTGCTACATTTTCGGAGATATGATTCCTGTTAATACAAGATCTATTTCCATTGATCACTGAATAGGTCCCCTGAAAATACGTTGAGTTTGTACTTGTGTTTTGAGCAACGCAGCGCGATCTTACTATCAAGAGACGTACTTTATAAGGACGATGGGGTTTACACATTCTGCCTCACATCACTGTCTGTTTTAATAATAAGTAGAACGTGTTAATATCAAGAAGTGAGTGAGTGTGTATGGTTTTACCCCGCTTTTAGCAATATTCCAGCAATATGATGTGGCGTGACGAGCGAACACTTTAACCACTAGGCTACCCCACCACCCCTAATATCAAGAAGAACATGCCATTGACTTTTGTGTTCTCTGAGAGTGACGTGGTAAAAGTTCCAGAGGTGAAAGTTATGTGAATGGATCACTGAAAATCAGTGACGACACCAGGTGTTCGCGAAAAAGGTAAGCATGACCTGCCGTATCGCGAAGACCTGCTACTGTTGTAATTCGATGGGGTCTGTCAACAAATGAGACAATCGACCGATGGACCAGAATAATAACACGATTGTGACACGTTTTTGTTTTTAAAATCGATATGTTAGTTTTTTAATTTCACTCCAAATGGCCCAAAACTTAAACGAGCAAGTGCTATCTCAAACTTATATAACCTAACTGCATCAACTATTGTTCTGTAGCTTTGTTATCTTTAGTTACAATAAGAGACATGTATGACTTTTAGGTGGCTACCATCAACTCCCCCATAAGACATGGTAATGCCCAAATATTCTCCCCAATCGATTCATACTTTAATGCCCCCCCCCCCCCTCTCTCTCTCTCTCTCTCTCTCTCTCACTCTCACTCTCTCTGTCTCTCTCTCTCTCTCCTATCTCAAAGGCACACACATACACACAAAAATCACAATACACATGAATCGTGTTCAAAAGGTTTATTGAATACCGATTTGACTCAATGCCTTCTACACATTTTATTGCTTGCTTGCTTTTCACAGCACAGAAGTGGTGGGGGACGTGGTCTCTTCTGGAATGAGAAGTATATGATTAAGTCAATATCATAACTATCCGGTTACTTCCTGTACAGACTGTTTAGTCCCCTTTCACTGTAACTTTTGTGTCTGCCTGTTCCTTCGTGAAACTGTGTATTCGAGATAATATTTTGGCAACAAATGTGTTCTCTATTCAGAAAATGTTAAAGAAAGATTAACTATTTTCATGAAAAAAACACTTTGGCTCCAGTAATATGATGGCGGGGGACTCCAAAAGTCGATTTCACATATTGTTCCCATGTGGGGGATTGAACACGGGCCTTCGGCGTGAAGAGAGAACGCTTTGACCTTAGGCTTCCCCATCGTCCCTTATCTGATTTTGAACCCTGTCATCTATAAATTAATTGTTTGTCTGTTTAACGCTTCATATATTTGTTCCCCAAATATAAAAGTACGACAATGGACCATTATGCAAACAGATCGGTCATTCAGTGTTTGTTTGTTTGTTTGCTGTTTTACGCCGCTCTCAACAATATCCCAGCTTCGTGACGGCGGTCTGTAAGTAATCGAGTCTCCAATGATTACGATCGATCCACGCTGATGGGATACGACGACATGCGTCAACCAAGTCAGCGTGCCTGACCACCAGATACTGTTAGTCGCCTCTTACGACAAGCACAGTGGCCTCTTACGACAAACATGGGTTGCGGAAAACCAATTCTCCAACTGTACTGGGTGATTCTACTGCGGGTGCTACAACTTAATACTCACTTGATTAATACATCTGCTATGAAGATTAAAGGAACTACTAGAAAACAAAAAACAAATAACCTAAAAACTTATTCTCCTTTTAAATAATAACACGAACCATGTGGTAGTAGTCTCATCCCCGCCGTCATCTGTTGGGCTGAAAAAGACAAATACTTGTTTATCATGTGTATTGTACAAATGTTTGTTTGTTATTGAACGCCTCATTCATCAAAATGCCGGCTATATGTCCGTAAATAATCGAGTCTTGACCGGACAATCAAGTGATCGACATCATGAGCATGGACCTACGCAAATGCGATACATGACAGGCATTAACTAAGTCAACGAGCCTGACCACCAGATCCTGTAGGTCGCCACTTACGACAAGCTTTGGTTTCTGAAGACCAATTCTCACCCGGATCTTCACGGGTGATCACAATGTTATTTGTTGCCATTTGAAAGACTGTAACAAAGCCAGAGATCTCAACACGAATATCAAAACAGCTCCTGATACAAATACTTCACAAAATGGTCGGCTTCCGCAAGTGATTTATAGGTTAATCAGAGGGCCTTCAAAGAGAGAATACAGAATGCATCTTCCTTGAACTGGAACAAAACTGTTCACATAACCATGATGGCTACTTGTATTTTTGTGATGTACATAGGGTTAATATTCAACTGGTTTTGTAACTTTCTGAATGGTATAAGCCTGATCAATTGTTGTGCCGTGTTCCATGTTTTAACCTGACCCCTAGGCTACCTGTGATACATGCTATGTTGCTGTTGTGCCGCGTCTCATGTTTAAACCTGTCTCCTGGGCTACCTGTGATACACGTGATGTTGCTGTTGTGCCGTGTTCCTTGTTTTAACATGTCTGCTGGGCTACCTGTGATACACGTGATGTAGCTGTTGTGCCGTGTTCCTTGTTTTAACGTGTCCCCTTGGCTACCTGTGATACATGTGATGTTGCTGTTGTGCCGTGTTGCTTGTTTTAACATGCCCCCTAGGCTACCTGTGATACACGTGATGTAGCTGTTGTGCCGTGTTCCTTGTTTTAACGTGTCCCCTAAGCTACCTGTGATACACGTGATGTAGCTGTTGTGCCGCGTCCCATGTTTTAACTTGTCTCCTTGGCTACCTGTGATATATGTGATTTTTCTGTTGTGATTTAACTTACCAGGCTGGTTCGAATCCGAGATACGGACAGTCACTGGCATCGGACGTGGTGTACGGCAGCGTTCCTACCTTCTCACAGGTTGTGGAGTTGAAAATGTCGAGTTCGCTTAAAGAAGAAAAAACATGCCTGTTACAACCATCATAATCATTTCCCATCGTTTGACATTACAGATCTTAGGTACTCAATTGGTAACCGGTTGAAACCACAAAGACATCCTAGTTTGTCGGATGGTCTGTAAGAGAACTTGAATGATTTGGCTTTATTTTCGATGATCAAACTAAAAGTATCATGATATGTCATATCAGGCTTTTGGTTACTGTATCCGACCAGATATGTAATTCATTCGTTTGCTGCTGTACGTTATATAGAATTGTTCATTCCATTGAGGGGCGGTCGGGTAGCCTAGTGGTTATAGTGTTTACTCGTCACGCCCAAGACCCGCCTTCGATTCCCGACATGGGTACAATCTGTGAAGCCCATTTCTGGTGTCCCCCGCCGTGATATTGCTGGAATATTGCTAAAAGCGGCGTAAATCCATACTCACTCACTCACGTCTTGATATTTATACATTCAATTTATAATTAAAACAGACAGTCACATAATGCAGAATGCCCCTATAAAGTACCTTTCTTGATAGTAAGGTCGCGCTGCGTTGCACAAAACACAAGTACAAATTCAACTTATTTTCAGGGGACCTATTCAGTCATCAATGGAAATAGATCTTTCCATTGCACATTGTACACTTACCTGACACCAGGGTAGGCCAGGTATATCAAAGAGGAACAGCGGTTGACCTTGACGTCCCCGCATGGTTTGCCCGGAATGCAGTACAGCAGCTTGAAACATTTGGTCGAAATGTCGTAGATCCACACACCACCAGCATCATCAATAAACACGATCCTTTCTGTCGAAGAAAACAAATCAAATTTTGTGTTAATCACCGCTTCATTTAAAAAAAATGACATGTAACAGTTTGTAGATGTTTCCAGTTATCTCAACGTGGATTTGCCGCTAACCCCTTATCTTCAAAAGAAAGTGATTATTTTAGGTCTCCGCTGTATTTGGTAGTTTCCACAAAACAAACTATTCCTTTTTTCACCACTGCCACCAAATGATTCATTTTGGGCATATCAGACACGGTGTCAGATGTCATGTCATTAGTATACGACGTTAATTAGCAATATATCAAAGAATCCTTTTTGGACCAGGTTGGAGTGTATGTTCCATTATACGTACCTTCGTCAATGACGTCAAACGATTTAATGTCTATTGAAAACTTCAGTTTGGTCTGCAAATCTCCACCTGTCTCGTTGACGCACTGGATCTCCTTGCAATTGGTAAAGTACACTCGCCTAAAAGGGAAGAGAAGATGATTGCTTGCAGTTAACATGGTGTATTGGTTATTTGCGTATCACTCAACATTGTGCTTTGTGTCAGTTATTTTTCTTCTGTAGGTATTCGAAGTATTACTTGCTTCTTCGGATGTCCCTTGGGCACACCAGAAACTCGTTATTATGGGTTCGAATCCCGATCGCCCCGATTATGACCCCGTGCTCGTGGGTTTCATCGAAGCGATTAACATCTGAGACTTGCATTACTTCGGGACTTCCTCCCAAATTAACCTGATACGCCCTCATAAGACTGGAATAGTGTTCAAAGAAGTGTTAAAACCAATTACTCACTCACTGTCCCACACACTGCATATACATTAGTTCTTAATTAAATAATGAGGCAAATGGACCATTTTGAACAGTAATTTAAAAAATGCAGAAACAAAACTGTGATACCAACCAGTCAAAAACTCTGACTGTCCCTGCGTCACAGGAAATATTGACAATAACATCCACCTGGTTTTCGCAGCTTTTATAAAGAAACACAAGGACATCGTCGCCCGTGCCATTATAATCATCAATGGCGACATACAACTTATCATCCCAGCTAGCAATGCCGGTATATTTTCCACTATTGTCATCCGGCCCTAGAGAGAGAAGAGACAAACAAATGTTTCTGTCAATATTACAGTTTAAATATGTAAGTATGCCGTCAACATTCATTGTTTTACAAGTGATTATCTTCTTAAAGAAATACACTGATTGCAATATGATTTCAGGTTCATACATGTACAAATTTATATTTGATTCCTGCTATCTGTTCCCTTCAAGGGAGATTGTTAGGATCATTTCCTGTATACACGTACCGCTATAATAAGAAGATTTAACCATCCAGAATGAAAATATTGTGAATATGTTTGATTGGTTTCCGCATTATGGTTTAACCTCTTAGTGTTTGATTTTTGACGTTTCTGTTGTCCTGTCAGGAACTTAACTAGGTATTGAGGGTGTAACGACTTACCCAATTTTACGGTTTCCGTCCCCAGAGGAAGGCACAGCTCCTTCACCGTGGGAGGCGAACAATAGATGTAGTAGATGTAGTAATATGTTTCATTGTCTCCACAAACTGTAAAACCGCTGACATTATAATTCGTTTCTATACTGGGCAGGATCGTCCCAACTGGGTCAACCACATCAATGTGCTCCCAATTGCATCCACCAACAAGTGCGGCACATCCTTCCACTGTAAAACATCAGCGTAAATCTTGTGATTGGGAAGTATTGATAAGTGTTTTTATTTTTCCCAATCATATGGCAAATCCTTTTGAAGGAGAGTAGTGTAATGGACACTATAACATATTGCAAGCAGATTCCATACCAGAGGTCTGGCTCGGTCATTCAGAAATGTTTTTGTTTGTTTGTTGCTTAACGCCGCTCACAGCAATGTTCCAGCTATATTACGGTGGTCTGTAAACAATCAATTATGGATCAGATAATCCAGGGATTGACTTCATGAGCATTGACCTACGCAATTGGGATACGATGACAAGCATCAACCAAATCAGCGAGCCTTGTCGACAATTCATTAGTCGACAAGCATGAGTTGCAGAAGATCAGCATCAACCTACTTACGTGGAGGGCAATCCATTGGTTGATCCTCGATCAATGCTGTGAGATCGTTGATAAGCTCGCAAAGTGTGCTGTTGAGGGCTTCGAGATCACTTTCAAAGCAATCCCCTGGAGCTAAAACAGAATTATACATCAACTGTCGTTATTGATTTAAAACCATCACTTTGTGTTTGTCCCGGTTTATTGACGATACAATGCTGTGATCAGCCGTACATGTATTGGAACTTGGAACTTAAACACACCTGTAGGTATGGAAACATCTACAATTGTAAAGAGTTCAGCTTTAATTAAGTTAGATGTCATCACGTTCTCTGTAAAAGTCCAGTGCTTCTCTTATGTGCAATGGCATATTGGTTCCACAATGGTCTTAAATAATTATGTTTCTTTGTGACATCACACCGAATGAACCTCATAATGTTGATGAAATATTACAAACTAAAGATGGAGTAAAGTATAAGTCTTGAATCGTTTAAGATATAACACAGGTGTCTCAGTGGTTTAAGGCTTCGAAATTCACTCTGTGATCCTCAACACTGCCAGAATTTACTGATGGCAGGAGCCCCCTGAATCTACCCGGGTATACTCTGAAGGTGGGGTAGTTTCTGGGAGCCCCCTAAATCTACCCGTGTATACTCTGAAGGTCGAGTAGATTCTGGGAGCTTACCCGGGGTTCGACGTGAGTACTTTTTTTGTGAAGCCCATTTCTAGTGTCCCCCGCCATGATATTGCTGCAATATTGCTAAAATTGCTAAAAGCGGCGTAAAACCATACTCACTCACTCCTAACGTTATGACATGGCAAGCAGACTCTAAACAACGTATATCTTCCCTTTGATAAAGGCATTCTAGAAATGGTTGAGTAAGTGAGAAAAATGTAAGTAAGGATAAATTGATGAACAGCTTTTTTATTACAATTAGGAGCGGCGTTTCGATGTAGGTTCTAACACCGTTATCAAGCAAGTGAAACGTCGCTCCTAATTGTAATAAAGAAGTTGTTCATCTATATACCTATCCTTACCTACTTCTCCAACTTCTTAATGCTTCTCAAAGAAGAGGAAAATGTACTTTATACATAACGACTTCTCGTTTATTGCATAGAGCGACGTTTCGATATATACATAAACTACTGTTATAACGAACTCACTAATTTTAGTTCGTAATAACCGTAGTTCGTTGTAAGCATATATATAGCGTATATATAACAAAAAGGACGGTTCCTTATATCGGTCAGCTTATAAGCGTGTTCGTTAAAAACATAGTTTACTGTAGATAACCAGGTGATTAGAGGTACAAATGCATGACATGCTGCGATAAGCAGCACATTAACATTGACAACAACAGGTAATAGAATAGCAAACAAGAAGCATACAGTTAAATAGACAATTCTCTTCCATTGACTTATCCACCTGAACCAGTTAAAACATCCAATCTGTTTCATATTAAAGATCTATGCATTATGATTCAGAGTGAGAGAAAAGAAGGATGACTTAAATATTCCAATTGTCAACTATCCCTTTATGTCAAGCAATATTCCAGTAGCTCCAACCTTTGTTGTCTCTATTTCACTACTTTTGAGGTACGATCGAGCATGCGCTTCCTCCTAAACTGTCATAGGACTCTTGCAATTTTGACTTGTACCACATCATGGCATGTTTTTGCATGTGTTTGTGACGGGGGCCATCGGTGGAGCAGGATACGGGCACCTTTTCGCGAACACCTGGTGTCATCACTATTCATACGGACACCTCATATGATTATAGATAGGGTTTTGTCGCCTTAAATGACTACACACCACTGTCATCGTGTTGTTTTCACCCTTAGAAATACACCGCCAACATGTTCTCTTGATTGTCATATTATGCCTAATCCTTCCGTTTCCTTTTCCATGCATTGCCATCACTCATCACTCGATACCTCTTTGTATTTCTGTAATCAGCTGTTACTAAGGAGATAAACCTACTGTGTTTTGAAATTTGATGAAGTCCCACTGTAGAATAGATACCTCTTTATTTTAATTTTGAACCGAGCACTTTAAATTATCATTATTATTATTATTATTATTATTATTATTATTATTATTATTATTATTATTATTATTATTATTATTTCAAATTATAATAAAGAGGTATCTATTCTACAATGGGACTACATCGAATTTCAAAACACAGTAGGATTATCTCTATTCTACCATGACGGCAACAACGCTTTGAAAACGGCGCTCTCTTGCAACGCGTAACAACACAAGCCCACAGGTCCGCAATCTTAGAACATTCCAAAAAGTGGTCACAGGTAGTTATATATGTAACAATTATTACTAAAGTTCAAGATTAAAAACACCATAGTCGTGAGTAGTTTAAAATAAGTGTTCAATACACATTGCTTTTCAAAAGAAGTTGACCAAAAACACTCCAAACTTAGTCCAAAGACAGATGTTTTAATTTCTACCCACTTATTGTACACTGTTGTACACTGGGGACTGACTGTCAATTCTTGGAAGTTGCGAGAGAGGTTATTTCTTTGTAAATCGAACATGCCATCATTTCTATTGTAGGGGTGACAGGTTGTAGAAAAAGGTTTTAAAATGCTAAACGAATATATTCTACAACAAACTTTTTGAATTAACGTTCTACTATACATGTAACATGTGTAAGTGTTATTAGTTAGTTAGCAATTACCCCCAGTAAACAATAATAACATCAAAATAAATGCCTCTCCACCCGAACTTGGTTACTCACACCTCGCAGCTGTCAGTGGCTGACAATCTTGTGTTGACATTCTCCGTTGCTTGTTAAAAGAAGCAATATGACAAACCAGAACTATGATGTGGTTCAACATTAACCTGTAGGTTTACTGGGAATGATCGAGCCTGCTGGTACAATATGATTACCATTGGAGCTAAGTATGACTGAACAGCCGCGTTTTATCCTGCAGCTAGACGAGCCGGACATTTTTACATGAGGTAGGGCCTATCACAGTATCTGCATGATGTGACCTGTCAATTTCAAGATTTCATGGATTCCAAGCCAGAGTGTGAATGGATGAGACATTCGTGGCCCAGACATAGTGGGTCGAGTTTGATTTTCTTAATTGTGCGTGATCTGAAATGAATTTCATAAAGTGTGACTTAAATGATGTCGGGACATTGTTTTCGTGGATTTTCGAATGGACAAGTGTTTTCTAAGTGATGGACTTTCAAATCCTCTTGTGCCAAATCCTTACCATGGTGGTTGACGGAGATAGCGATGAATATCGATCACAAAAAGGTTTGTAAACAACATGTTTTCATGAATAAAGTTTGTTCAAACAATTTTTATAATGTTTTATTTTACTTTCATTGTCGGTTGTTTCAATGAGGAAATAGCTTAAATTGTTCTGATTCTGGTCACCATAGAACATTTCCCCCCTTACAGTTTCATAAACATTTCATCTGTATGCAAAAGATATGCCTTCGTTAAATCTTTTAGTGTCATCATCGAAGCAGTCAGGGTTGCTTGCGGCCTAGCCAACGCTCAAAACATCCGATATCAAACTATCGTATTTCCTCTATTTGACGCTATGCCGTCTAGTAATTTTCGCGAGAGTCCTTGACTCGGCGTGTATTAGAAACCTGGCTGGTATTAGAGACCCAGCGTGCATTAGAAGAAATATAGATACGTTTTACAGTTCATATGGGGGTGAATCGATCAGCAGCCATTTTCTATGAATCGATATGTAGGCTATCTCTGTATTCATACGCACGTTTTTTTGTGAAAAGGCTTAATATATTTGAAAGGGGTTTCCGTAGCAAAAAGGAAACCTCTTTTTAACCAATCAGAATCAAGCATTCATCAATGTCATGGTAGAATTGCTAATATCCCCTACTTGTTTTAGGGTATTTAGATCAAGAGTTCAACAGTCACTTTTGCGCATACGCGAATTGAAATGTAAATATTAAATTCTGAGATACAAGTGCTCCTGAATCTAGAAACTATAGCTGGACAAAAGAAAAGCTATCTGATGCAGACCGCCTTCGAGGTCTAGTGGTAGATCGTCCGCCCGGAAAAGCGGTAGGTCCGGGGCTCGATTCTCGGCCGTGTCATTCCAAAAAACGTTAAAATATGATACTTGTTTCTAGCCTGCCTGGCGCTCGGCATTAAGCTAGAAACTATATCTGGACTACAGAAAAGCTATCTGATGAGGGAGTGAAATCGTATATCAAGTAGCATCACATTGTAGGTTTAGATTAGATTAATTCTGTAATGCTTTTGTTGTAGTTTAATTATTTACGTTTAGATTTTTTTTAACATGTCATTTACTTACTCTGACATGGGCACTGTTCATTGGTGACATCAAAGATACACTGGAAATCAGCCTTCGCTTCTTTCAGTTGAGTCAAGAGGTCCTGAAGCTTGTCGGGGAGCTCATCTGGTCCAGGGTGACATCCCAGTGATGGCGCAAGGACAGCCAGGAGAACTATGAAGAGACCGTTGCCGAACATCGTCATGTTGATTCCGATTGTCTTTTCTCCTCACTCTCAAGAGTTATTATAGGCATTCGAAATCTCGTGGACCAGTAGATACCTGTCACATGTCCAGGTTTGTCACCCACGTGGTACTTTCTACCACGTTGTATGTAATTGATTTTAATTTATGGAAAATTTTTTTTGCAAACCTTTGCTTATTTTTTTAAACAGATGGCGCATGTGACATGTACGTATGGATTTTGCATGCTTTCATACTTTGATATCCATTAAACGTTACGAGTATGTTTTCCCTGTTTGATATATATTTTTGATTTGTTGAAGGACATGATACACTCCTTTGTAAAGCGGATGAGATATAGGTCTCGGTCTGTAAATGAAAACAAACTTAACAATTGTGTCCCGTCTTGAATTTTAATTTTAATTCCCCACATTCCTCACAATTCATCGATGACCTGCTCTACAGGCAGCACCCACCATTCACCCAATTCAACGATGACTCCAAACATGACCTGCTCTACAGGCAGCACCCACCATTCACACAATTCATTGATGACACTATACCTATGCCTTACCCAGGTCTATCTCAAGTCAGTATTTCATATCAGTTAGTTATACCTGTACCTTAACCAGGTCTATCCACGTCAGTATTTCATATGAATGAGCTATACCTCTACCTTACCCAGGTCTATCTCAAGTCAGTATTTCATATCAGTTAGTTATACCTTTACCTTACCCAGGTCTATCCACGTCAGTATTTCTTCTGAATGAGCTATACCTGTACCTTACCAAGTTCTATCTCACGTCAGTATTTCATATCAGTCAGTTATACCTGTACCTTACCCAGGTCTATCTCACGTCAATATTCCATATTAATGAGCTATACTTGTACCTTACCCAGGTCTATCTCACGTCAGTATTTCATATCAGTCAGTTGTATTTATACCTTGCTTAGGTCTATCTCACACAGTATTTCATATCAGTGAGCTATACCTGTCCCTTACCCAGGTCTATCTCATGTCAGTATTTCATATCAGTGGGCTATGCCTGTACCTTACCCAGGTCTATCTCACGTCAGTATTTCATATCAGTTTTTTTTACCTATACCTTACCCAGGTCTATCTCAGGTCAATATTTCAAATCAGTGAGCTATGCCTGTACCTTACCCAGGTCTATCTCACGTCAGTATTTCATATCAATGAGCTATACCTATACCTTATCAAGGTCTATCTCACGTCAGTATTTCATATTACTGGCCTTTATCTGTACCTTACCCAGGTCTAGCGCACGTCAGTATTTCATATTAGTGGCCTATACCTGAACCTTACCCAGGTATATATCACTTCAGCATTTCATATCAGTCAGTTATAACTGTACCTTACCCAGGTCTATCTCAAGTCAGTACTTCATATCAGTCAGTTATACCTGTACCTTACCCAGGTCTATCCACGTCAGTATTTCATATAAATGAGCTATACCTCTACCTTACCCAGGTCTATCTCAAGTCAGTATTTCATATCAGTTAGTTATACCTGTACCTTACCCAGGTCTATCCACGTCAGTATTTCTTAGAATGAGCTATACCTGTACCTTACCAAGGTCTATCTCACGTCAGTATTTCATATCAGTCAGTTATATCTGTACCTTACCCAGGTCTATCTCACGTCAATATTCCATATCAATGAGCAATACCTGTACCTTACCCAGGTCTATCTCACGTCAGTATTTCATATCAGTCAGTTGTATTTATACCTTACTTAGGTCTATCTCACACAGTATTTCATATCAGTGAGCTATACCTGTCCCTTACCCAGGTCTATCTCATGTCAGTATTTCATATCAGTGGGCTATGCCTGTACCTTACCCAGGTCTATCTCACGTCAGTATTTCATATCAGTTTTTTCACCTATACCTTACCCAGGTCTATCTCAGGTCAATATTTCAAATCAGTGAGCTATGCCTGTACCTTACCCAGGTCTATCTCACGTCAGTATTTCATATCAATAAGCTATACCTATACCTTATCAAGGTCTATCTCACGTCAGTATTTCATATTACTGGCCTTTATCTGTACCTTACCCAGGTCTAGCGCACGTCAGTATTTCATATTAGTGGCCTATACCTGAACCTTACCCAGGTATATATCACTTCAGCATTTCATATCAGTCAGTTATAACTGTACCTTACCCAGGTCTATCTGACGTCAGTACTTCATATCAGTCAGTTATACCTGTACCTTACCCAGGTCTATCTCACGTCAGTATTTCATATCAGTCAGTTATACCTATACCTTACCCAGGTCTATCCACGTCATTATTTCGTATGAATGAGCTATACCTATACCTTACCCAGGTATATATCACGTAAGTATTTCATGTCAGTCAGTTATACCTGTACCTTACCCACGTCTATCTCACGTCAGTATTTCATATCAGTCAGTTATATCTGTACCTTACCCAGGTCTATCTGACGTCAGTATTTCATATCAGTCAGTTATACCTATACCTTATCCAGGTCTATCTCACGTCAGTATTTCATATTAGTGAGCTAAACCTGTATCTTACCCAGGTCTATCTGAAGTCAGTATTTCATATTAGTGATCTATACCTGTACCTTACCAAGGTTTATCTCACGTCAACATTCCATATCAATGAGCTATACTTGAACCTTACCCAGGTCTATCTGACGTCAGTATTTCATATCAGTTTGTTTTACCTATACCTTACCCAGGTCTATCTCAAGTCAATATTTCAAATCAGTGAGTTATGCTCGTACCTTACCCAGGTCTATCTCACGTCAGTATTTCATATCATTGAGCTATACCTATACCTTATCCAGATCTATCTCACGTCAGTATTTCATATTACTGGTCTTCATCTGTACCTTACCCAGGTCTATCTCACGTCAGTATTTCAAATTAGTGGTCTTTACCTGTACCTTACCCAGGTATATATCACTTCAGTATTTCATATCAGTCAGTTATAACTGTACCTTACCCAGGGCTATCTGACGTCAATATTTCATATCAGTGAGCTATGCCTGTACCTTACCCAGGTCTATCTCACGTCAGTATTTCATATCAATGAGCTATACCTATACCTTATCCAGATCTATCTCACGTCAGTATTTCATATGACTGGTCTTTATCTGTACCTTACCCAGGTCTATCTCACGTCAGTATTTCATATCAGTTAGTTATACCTGTACCCTACCCACGTCTATCTCACGTCAGTATTTCATATCAGTCAGTTATATCTCTACCTTACCAAGGTCTATCCCACGTCAATATTCCATATCAATGAGCTATACTTGAACCTTACCGAGGTCTATCTCACGTCAGTATTTCATATCAGTTAGTTATACCTATACTTTACTAAGGTCTATCTCAGGTCAATATTTCATATCATTGAGCTATACCTGTATCCTACCCAGGTCTATCTCACGTCAGTATTTCATATCAATGAGCTATACCTGTACCTTACCCAGGTATATATCACGTTTGTATTTCATATCAGTCAGTTATACCTGTACCTTACCCAGGTCTATCTCACGTCAGTATTTCATATCAATGAGCTATACCTGTACCTTACCCAGGTATATATCACGTTTGTATTTCATATCAGTCAGTTATACCTGTACCTTACCCAGGTCTATCTCACATCAGTATTTCATATCAATGAGCTATACCTGTACCTTACCCAGGTCTATCTCACGTCAGTATTTCATATCAATGACCTATACTTGTACTTTACCCAGGTCTACCTGACGTCAGTATTTCATATCATTGAGCTATGCCTCTACCCTACCCATGTCTATCTCACGTCAGTATTTCATATTAGTGGGTTATACCTGTACCTTACCCAGGTCTATCTCACGTCAGTATTTCATATCAATGAGTTATACTTGTACCTTACCCTGGTCTACCTGTCGTCAGTATGTCATATCTGTGGGGTATACCTGTACCTTACCCAGGTCTATCGAACGTCAGTATTTCATATCAGTTGGCTATAAGGGGCGGTCGGGTAGCCTTGTGGTTAAAGCGTTCGCTCGTCACGCCGAAGATCCGGGTTCGATTCCCGACATGGGTACAATATGTGAAGCCCATTTCTGGTGTCCCCCCGCCGTGATAATGCTGGAATATTGCTAAAACCCAACTCACTCACTCACTCACTCAGTTGGCTATACCTTTACCTTACCCAGGTCTATCTAACGTCGGTATTTCATATCAGTTGGCTATATCTGTGCCTTACCAAGGTCTATCTCTCGTCAGTATTTCTTATCAGCGAGCTATGCCTGTACCTTACCCAGGTCTGTCTTACGTCAGTATTTCATATCAGTGAGCTGTACCTGTACCTTAACTAGGTCTATCTCACGTCAGTATTTGTTATCAGTGAGCTATACCTGTGCCTTACCCAGCTCTATCTCTGTGCCTTACCCTGCTCTATCTCTGTGCCTTACCCAGGTAATATCTGTGCCTTACCCAGCTCTATCTCTGTGCCTTACCCAGGTCATATCTGTGCCTTACCCAGGTCTATCTCACGTCAGTATTTCATATCAATGAGCTATACCTATACCTTATCCAGGTCTATCTGACGTCAGTATTTCATATTAGTGGCCTTTATCTGTACCTCACCCAGGTCTAGCTCACTTCAGTAGAGAAAGAGAGAGAGAGGGGAGAGTGAGAGGGGGGAGGGGGGAGGGGGGGAGGGGAGAGAGGGGGAGAGCATGTCGTGTTTAGTACAGTTTTAGCCATCATTAAACGTAGGTGTATACTTTTTTGGCCCAGCAGGGTGTATTCTGAAATTGAAATTTATTGATGTGACGTTAAAGTCAGCATATGTTGTACAGCTGGGTCTGGGGAGAGGGTCGTGGCGACCTGTGTCTGATCACAGCTGGCAGATTTCTCTATGGAACACGTGGGCTTCATTTTGTATGACTAGAAACTAACTTATTATTCAAGAATTGTAAAATGTTCACAATTTATTAAATGCAATAATCCTTTGAACCAAAGCTGTCAAATATTTACAGTTTTGTGAATGTCGGACAATGAATCATCTTCAGTTACAAGATGAAAGT